CCAGAAACGTCTCCGAAATATGACCAGCCATTCTTCCCGTGTGGGGTCCCTCAGCTGGAACAGCTACATCCTTTCCAGGTAAAGCAGTGAAGAACTTAGAGGTGTGCTTTGCTCACACCAACAGGCCAGCGACACTGGTAACACTGGTGGAAACCCAGTGGCAAGTACACTCTTGCAACAGCAGAAAAAATGGGTTTCCATGAAAATATGTGCCAGCCTGACCCTGCAAGCCTTCTCTCTGCAGCGGGGCACGGACTGGCCACATCCACCACCATGATGTCAGAGTGGCTGAGCACCACGTGGCCACGCTTGCTGGCCACACGCAGGAGGTGTGTGGACTCAAGTGGTCTCTAGATGGCCGTTACCTGGCCAGCGGTGGCAATGACAACCTGGTGAACATCTGGCCGTGCACCCAGGGAGACAGCGGAGAGTTTGCTCCAGTACAGACCTTCACTCAGCACCAGGGTGCTGTCAAGGTGAGTGCAGGGCTGCTGTGGGCACACGTCTATGTGCAAGGCAGACATGCTGTGCACAGGTTCCCTCTTGAATGTCTTTGAATTAATCCTTTTCTTACAGGCTGTGGCATGGTGTCCATGGCAGTTGAATGTTCTAGCCACCGGAGGTGGGACTAGTGACAGACATATCCGCATCTGGAACGTGTGTTCTGGCACTTGCCTCAGCACCGTCGATGCCCATTCCCAGGTGAGACATGAACATCGTTTAGGAGATAAACATCTTCTGGCAGGACAGCTACATAGAGCTGCTGGTTCCTCAGGCCTGGGGGCATGGGTAAGAAGGGGACCATGCTCATCTCTTGTGCATCAGCATAAGCAGTTTGTCTTACCTGCATCACGGCTTCTTCCCAGGTCTGTTCTATCCTATGGTCAACAAACTACAAGGAGTTCATTTCAGGCCATGGATTTGCACAGAATCAGCTGGTTATATGGAAGTATCCTACAATGGCCAAGGTCACTGAGCTGCGAGGTAGGCTGGGCCCTTTGCCTGGGAAAGGGAGGGCTGACGGCAGATGTAATCCTTGGTTTGAGCAGACTCGTGGTCTAGCTTGGAGTATCCCTGCTGCTGAACAGCATCCAGGGGCATGCTGCTAGGGGTTATTCCTTTGGGCTGCTGAAGAAACACTTGCTCCAATCCATGCTTCCAGTGTGAATCCGCCTTGCAGGATGGTGTGGGGACAGCTGTGTAGGCTGCTGGGGCTCATGGGGCATATGGGAGTAAATGTGACCACTGTAGTAGAACTGGGGACATCGGAGCATGTGGCGATCAGCCCAGCCCTGACTGCACACCTCCTCCTCAGGTCACACCGCCAGAGTCTTGAACCTGACCATGAGCCCTGATGGTGCAACAGTGGCCTCAGCAGCTGCTGATGAAACACTGCGGCTCTGGCACTGTTTTGAGATGGACCCCATAAAGAAGAAGGAGAAAGAAAAGGCAAACAGTGCCAAAAGCAGCATCATTCATCAGGGCATCCGCTGAGTGCACAGGCCTGTTGTGGTGATGGGGGGAACTTGGCTTACACACTGTACAGTATTTTAAATGTTAATAAACTGCTTTAATTTGACTTTGTGGAGTCTGATGGAAGAAAAGGCCATGGCACACAGAGCCAGCTCCCTCCTCCCTGAGGTTTGGGATCTGGGCGAGTGGTGGAGCTCTTGTTCTTTAGGACCAGTTTGCAGGCAGCCTGAGCCTGACGCAATCCTGAAGTCCTGGGAGAACGATGCTGTGCAATGATTGTACCTCTGCACCTGTCCCAGCTAAGACAGGTATGTCACCTGCTGCCACGTCTTCATGCTGACCACAGCCACAAGCACTGTACCTCCACCACTGGGGGAAACTGTAGCCTGGGAGACTTCCTATCCCTTCAAGTGTCAAAAGTGACAGCCCTGCAGTGGGGTTGGGAGGAAGTACCCCTGCCTTGCCTCAGCTTTAACAGAGCAAACCAGCTCTGAACTGGTCCCTAGGAAGGACGGGCCCTCTGCCCAGCTGCTGCCTGGGTTGGTGCCAGCTGTGGTGGGGAAGAGCAAGGCTCAACTTGAAAGCACAGTATACTTGTGGCCCCAGCTTCTGCTGTGTCCTGTCTTGGCCAGGTGCTTCTGTGGGCAACTACAAGCAATGTCACCTGTGCCAGAGCACTCTGGGGACTTGTCCTTGGCACTCTGAGCTCCACTGTCACCTGCACATGGCAGTTAGTCTTGTTCTGCTACATGCAGCCTCTGTGCTACAGCCACCAGTGCCTGCTCTTACAGTGCTAGGGTAGAATAGCTCCTCTTGCAGTGAGCTTAGTACTGAATTTAGGAGTCAAATGCTACTGGAAAAAAAGACAGGGCTGAAGATGGAAACATACAGCAACAGCTGTAATAACTGCAAAGGCCAGAAAGGGCCTGGCACTGGCACAAAGCCCGAGGCAAGCCAAAAGCTTAGTTTACATTGTCATAGACAGCTTGGACATCATGTGAGAGACTCTCAAAGCACCATGCACCCAGAGCATGACCCTTGGTTGTACATTCCTACAGCAGCCCTGATCTCCATCCTCCTCTCCAGCTGAGAGGAAGCTCTGGTGCCAAGATGAGGCTGCATGCAGAGAAGCAGGCAGCAGGGCTGAGCTGACACTTAGAGCTTGATGTCCCAGCACTTGGGAAAATGCACGTTTTCTGGACTCAGTTACACTGGTAACTCATTTGAGCCTTCATGTGAGCGAGAGCCAGCACAGCTGCTGTGGCCGTGCTGCTCTGCATGTTAGAGCCATGGTGTCTGAGGCTGCAGGGCTGCACCAGCAACACCACACAGCTGATGAGCACCTTGGCCTGTACAAAGCACCTCCCAGTGATTAGCTGAGGGTGGCTTATTACTAATTTTTTCACCTTCCTCTCAGCAAGGTACCACACTGTACCTGGCACCAGGCTCCTGAGGTTTACGCCAAATGGAGCCTTCAAAGCTGTGCAGTGCTGGCAAAAACTTGTGCTAGGCTGAAGCCAGCCTGCGTGCACCGCACACCCATCAAAGCAGCCCCACACCTCCTGCTGACACAGGTAGGCACAGTCTCAACAACCAGCTTGCAGCAGAGCCCAGCACCTCCCCAGCAGGGCTGTTGGTGCATCCCTATTGGGCCACCTGGGGAAGAGCAGGGGAGGTCTGAGGAAGAGGCAGCCCTCCTTCCTCTTCAGAAGCAAATCCTAGGGCAGCAGTTGCATCTAACGGGGAAGAGCACAGCAGGGTTCATCCCTTCCCCAGAGCTGTGCTGCTTTCACAGGAGCCCTGCCCTATACCCCTGCAGTTCCATGGCAGCAGGGCAGATTAAGGCTTCCAGTAGATCCAGTCCCTGGAAGGCAGGCTTCATGTGCCCAAAACCTGTTGTGTTTTCTTGACTCCCATGTAATAGCAGAGCCCGTCTTACCTCTCTGCTTAGCACACATCCACTCTAGAAGCTGTGCATTACACATCCCTTGAAAACCCTTTGAATATTACTAGAAGGCGATGGTATTACAGTGTCTTCCTTTGGCCTCATACTGGTCCTACCACCCTGGAGCAAGGAGGAGCAGAGGAAGGAGCTGGGCACTGATCCAGTGGGCCCAGGAAACACTGCTATATAAGGTGTGAAATCTGTTCAGAGCGTCAGCCCAGACTGCCCCTGACAGTAGAAAAATTACCATGGAGAGATCACAGCTAACAGGAACAATTCGAGGAAGCAACAGCAGAGCACACATGGGGAACAGCCCACTTCAAAATGCCAAGCGTTAAGTGGTTTAAAGTATTGTTACTATTTTGGGCAAAAGCAAAGACTGTCTTGTTCTTACCAGGAGCCAGCTGCAGGGGGAGAAGGCGGTTAGACAGGAAAAGCTCCATCTCAGCTGGACTGTCACTACAGCTCCTGAAGTGGTGTGTTCTGAGCACTGAACTCATGTTACACACCACTGCAGCAGGGACCAGAACAAGCTCTCCTGCCAGTCCTTGCCCACAGAGCAACAGCAACAACTGTGAGAACAGTGCACAGGGCAGCAGCCACTTCACGTTCTAAAGCTTTACATGTACAAGGGCCCTGAGCCCTATAAAATCAGGCAATGTCTACATGCAGTCAGGCATACCGGTCACACCAGTTCAGGCCAGTTGAAGACATTTTCGTTTCAGAACATGGCCTTCAAGTAGGTGCAGCAGCTCAGGCAGGGTCAGCAGAGCTTTCCCTCACATTGAGCCCTGCTCTAGGGCTTTGGCTGGACATCCACTAGAGCCCTCCCACACCCACTCAGCTCCTGCAGACCTGCTGGTCGACACATTTCTCCCAGCCACAAGCAGCCCAACCAGCTACCCACCCCTCTTCCCAGGCTTAAATCAGCACCTAGGCTGGCCTGTCTGCTCAGAAGGGCCCTGCTCACAGGGTGAGGGGGAATGCAGCGTTGCACCCAAACAGCCTGAAGGGAGCCAGACTGCCTCAGGTGGTAGAGACAGAGCCCAGCCAGGCAATATGCTGCTGCTTATCTCTTGCTACAGAAGTGCCACACAAACCTGCCTCTACCCAACCTGAGGTACACTGCAGGGGCGTTCACAGATGGCAGCAGCTTTGGCAGATACAGAAACCAAGAGACTGCTATTTCCCCATCACCTGGGTTTCCAGAGTCACTATTCCCTGCTCTGCCACACCTCGGCTCCCCAGGATTTCTGAAAAGCAGCAGCTCCTCCTGAGCAGCTGGCCCTGGTCCCAGCCCACACCCACACTCCACCCCAGCCATTCTTTCACAGGGTGGAGCCACTTTCACAACAGAAGCCTTGACACATTTCCTGCCTTCAGCACTGCTCTACTGAAGCCCTTGGAAACAATCTGCCATCTGCTTCATCAGCACACTGCTATCGCCCTCTCCCCCCGCAACACAGAAACCTGCTACTCCAGCTGCTTCTGCCAGCCCTGCCTCCAATCACACGGGACAGGACGACCACGGCGCTGGAACATCTTCTGAGCAGAGCAAGCTAGGAAAACAAGAAGGCAGAGCCATTTCCCCTTCTGTCTGTTTATTTGTGATAGAAGAGCAGCCCAATCTGTCAGGGCCCGGCTCCTTCACCTCCTCAAGGCCATCAGCATAGTTTGGGTTACAGCCAGAGCAGGTGACGGGCACAAGGCCCAGGAGAGCTGCTGCCACCCTGCTGTACACCTTCACCCAGGCCCAGTCAGATCCACAGAGGCAAGAGGTGCTCACTGCTACACCACAGCAGGGCACGCTAAAACCATCCTCCGTTGTGCTCAAACTGGGCCAGAGCCGGGCTGGTCCCAAGCAGGAGAGCCCAGGATCTGATTCTAGGGGCAATTATTGCTCAAGTCTTGAGTCTGCAGGAATGGAAGTGGTCCAAGACAAGGCTGAGCTTGGCTTCCCCCACTCTGGAGCAAGCCACCAGCCGCCATACAGGATCAGGTAAGTGTGGCTAAAGCACACACCAAGCACCCAGCCCAGGCACAGAAAGGCAAGGCAACCTGGGCTTATTGTGTGGGGAGGCATTTCAGGCTGTCACAACCCCTGCTACACACAAGGCACAGGGCGTGTGTGCTGTACTGGGCAGGTCTGGGCCCTCAAGACCCAAACACTCCACCCCTACATTCTCCACAGCCACACCTGAGCACAGATACGCTGGGGCAGGACCCCCCGACCTGGGCAGAGGAACCAGAAGGGACATGCAGCACTGTGGTGTGGAACAAAATGGCACAAGGCATGGTAGAGCAGGAGCACTCACACTTGAGCTGGCAGCAGCAAGCAGCCAGGGACAAGTCTGCTCATCCACACAGGCTCTGATAAGACAGGAGAGAGAGGGCACCAGGACAGGGATCAGTTTCTTCTTTTGGTCCTACTCAGAAGGAAATGGCCCCCAGGCAGAAGGGCCAGATGTAGGCACTTGGGGGAAGTTCCTTTGGAAACACTGGAATGGGACTGCAGCCCCACAGCTGTGATGCAGGCAGCTGCCTCTCCGCTCAGCAATACTGAGAAACAGGACGAGCCCTCCCAGGAGCAGAACAAGTTGCCCATGGCTGCTCAGAGCAGAGAGGCTGGGCATGCAGACAGAAGACAGCAAGGCTGGGCACAGGGATACAACAGTCTGTAGGCACTTGGCTAGTAGCACCCAGGAGCAGGGGAACAGGTCCCAGCTGCCTCTGCACCGGGGCTCTCATTGGCTCTGGGAGGGCCTTGCCCTCTAGTTGGCTTTGACCTTGCCATTGGTGACAGTGCCATTCTCATGGATGCTGCTACCATTGTGCTGGGCTGCTTGCTGAGCCACCCTGGGCAACCGTTTGCCCTTAGTGTAGGACTGGTACCAAAAGTTGGAGAAGAGGATGAAGAAGATGGTCCCATAAATCCAGATGAGGTGGACGAAGATGGGGAACTGGTACTGGCAGCTGGGCATGAAGTAATACTGAGAGATGTGGACGGAGACAATCACGAACTGCGCCTGGGAGCAAGGGAGAGCACGGCCAAGTTACTCATGGAAGCAGGGCCAGGGATCCCACTAGACACCTTCTCTAAAGGAAACCAATAGGCTCCTTCCCCACCCTAGGTCCTTTATGTTGAGACACAGGCAGCAGCAGCCGGAGGAAGCAGGCACAGGTCTCAAGGCAGCATGTGCCTCTCACCTTCACAACGTGTCTGCAGCCCAGCAGCAGCGTGCTGAGTAGCACCCACCCCCTAACCCAGGCTGGTGGGGCTATCAGACATCCACAGTGGACCAGAGCTGCGAGAAGCACAGCATGAGAGGCTACAGAAGAGACGACTGCAGCTGCTGGCTGCAGCTTTCATAGATGCAAGGGCTGGCCTGCCCCTCACATCAGAGGCTGAGGGCACATACTCTGCTCCACAGCATGGACTCACCAGCTGGATGGCTGTGATGTGCTTCTTCCACCACAGGTACTTCTGAAACGCCGGTCCCGCTGCTGAGAGCCCATAGTACAAGTACATGACGACATGCACCATGGAATTGATCATGGCATGGAATGAGCCCATTCCCCCTGTTAAGACAGATTTTCATTAGCGTAAGTCAATCCCTCTCCAGCAATCAGCACTACAAAAAGATTCTAGGAGCCCAAAACGGCCAAAAAAACCCTTCTCAGCATGCTAGAGCTAACCCCACCCTTTCCGCAAGCTGTACACCCAGACAGTTTCCACCTTACCTGGACCAAACTTTGCTCCCCACCACCAGCTCCAAGGCAGGACAGAATGGTGGAAGAGGTGCAGGAATGTGACCTGTTCATTCTTCTTTCGCAGGACAAAGATCACCTGCAATGAGAGCCCAACAGCATCAATGGCCTCCAGCCCTGGGAGCTAGAGCAGGCTGGGCCACTAACACAGTGTCTGATCTCAGTGACACTTTTTCCCCCTGCCACTACACATTAGGGCACCTCACAACTTCCAGAGCTGTAACATGCCAGGAGCAGCCTCTGCAGTAGCCCAGAGTGGCCTCCTTGGCAGTGCTGCCAGGCAGAAGCACTACTGGGTCAGGCTGGAAAGGCTGAAGAAAGCACCTACCCCAAGTACACTGTACCCCAGCAACCCACCCAGCAGGTGGTGACAAGGCCACTACAGCAACTCACCGTGTCTGTCAGTTCGATGAACTTGGAGAAGACAAAGAGCCAAGCAACACTGACCATCTGTAACAGAACAGGTTAACGTTAGAGACTCACCTCAGCCTTAACACGCTTTGTGACCAGTCTGCATATAGTAACCCTGAGGTGAAAGCAAGAGCCAGGGACTAAGCCCTCTGCCTCAGGAGGGTCAGGCAGTTGTGACCTTGCTGACCAAACAGAAGCACCAAAGTCCATCCCCACTTAGAAGGAAAGGGACAAGAACTCACCCTGAGGGCCTTAGGGTCCTGTGAGAAATCCACAGGGTCACACCGCCAGGTGTACCCAGTAAGCCACCCTGCCATCAGGAACTGCAACAAAAGCATCATCAGGGTGAGGTCCAACACACCATCCATTGCACTTCCCAAGCCCTACACAGACGGGCACGCAACAGCTTGCAAAAGGGCTCCCCATAACCCGTGCAGCCTTCGTACACTGCTTTCTATGTGCCAGACAGCCTCCTGCTGACCACTCACCTCATAGACAATGTAAAGTGAGAGTCCCACCAGAAAGAAGTTGTATAGCACCATGAACTTCTTCAGGTTTAAAGGCTTCCTGTTGGCCATTAGCCGGGGACCCAAGGATAGTACAAAGTAGACATATGCCAGGAGGATGCCCATCACAAGGAACGGGGACTGCATCAGTGGATAATCAGCAATGCGGGGGTCTACAAAGAGCCACAGGACAGAGCAGTTAGCATCCTCACACCATCCTGCCACCAGTAATGCCACTGCCAGAGGAGGCAAGTACGTGGCAACTCCGCTCTCCTAGGACAGGGGTGCAGGTATGGGGGAGTCTGGGAGGAGAGGGTGATGGAGCCAGACAAACTCAGTAAGGCACAGCCTGAAGCCACACTGCAGGGCAGCCTGGAGACCTTCTGCCCAGGAGGGCACAAGTACCCCAAGAGAGCCTGCACAGGCACCAAGGCAAGACAACCTCATAACAGGCAACATAACCCCAGAGCTGCATCTGCATCAGGGCAGAAGTAGGATGCAGATAAACCCAAACTGCTTCATGGATGACAGACCACCCCCTGTGCCTATGGCAAGTACCTGCCCTACAGCTGAGTAGAGCAGAACACCCACCTGCTTTCTTCATGAAGTCCTGATACATGGTCACAATCCCCTCCATGGTGGTGGCAGTGTCTCTGCAGAATGAAAAAGGGCAAATCAGGAGGGCAGCCAGCAGAGCACAGCTCTGCAGATCAACAAATTTCAAGTATTGCTTCAGAGGTAAGTCATGTGTACCTCGCTAGCATTGCTCTCAGCTGATCGCACCACCAGCATCCACTTGCCATTTGAGCCACACGCTCCCCACTTCTCACTAAGGCTGGCCCTGTCTACCCAGCTCTGCTGGGAACCCCATCACCTACCACCACCAGTCCTTAAGGATCTTAAAATTCCAAGCCAGCTAGGCAAGTTTCCAGCCTCAGCCCTGTATCTCCAGCCCCTTAGTCTCGCCGCACAGGCTCAAACATTACCACCCACAGTGCTGCCACCAGCCTTGCCACCGATACCCACTTAGTACGCTACTCTGCATGACCCTGGTGAAGGTGTCCAAGGAAGATGCAGAGCTGCCCCATGCAGGGCAGAGGTCCTGCCCACTGATCCCCACCAGAGAAGTAACACGGCATCACTGGCAGACCCAGTGCCCGAGGAAGGAAAGCTATAGGTTCTGAAACAAACATCAGTTTCTGGTGCCAGAGTTCCTGGTTTCACATCCTTGCACAAAACCCTCCCAACAAGAACTACCACCCCACAACCCAGCACCTCATAGGCTAGGTGTATCCTCCTTGGCAATAACATTTCCGCTCCCCCTCCCAGGCAGGGGACGGTATTCCCAAGCAGTGGAGAATACCACAGAAGAAGGATATAAGGCTACAGGGAGAAGGACCTGACACACCCCACACTTGCTCAGCCTCACTATGAGGGCACACCAGACAGGGATCCAGAGAGATGCTCTCCAGAAAAAGCAGGAAAGGCCCAGGCATTGCTGCTGCAGGCAAGTTTGAAACACCCTCACTCAGCTCTGTGCTCCCCAACATCTCCCCAGTCCACAGGAAGGAAGACAGAGCACAGGTCCAGCTTCATCTGTCTGGTCCACCTGCAAGGGAGGAATTCTCCACAGCTGCTGCTACACCCTCCACCTACCACTTCCTTCGTGAAGATGCACAAGAATCACAGCCCACACACAGGCCTAGGGACACAGGTCCCCAGACCAATCTCCCCAGCAGGTTTATTGCTGTCATCACCAGGAAGCACACAGCCTCTCCCAGACCAACAGCCAGAAGGCTGAAGCCTGAGTATTCTTCCCAGCAAGGTCTGAGCTGGGAGTATGCAGCAGCCACTGCTACCTCAAGCCCTCAGCAGCCAGCATCAGCATTGCTCCTTCAGCTTTGCTGCAAGAGGAAGAGCTCAAAGTCCTCTTTGCTCTAGCTAGAACCCAGGCAGGGCCGCAGCAGACACTACCTGTGCTACAACTTAACAGGCTTTGCTGCAGTGGCCTTTGTGTGGGCCCAGCACACACCATTCTGGTTCAACACTCTCTGCAGATCACTTCAGTGCAGCAACAGCATTGGCTCCGTGTCTGCCCAGTCATACTCTCTGTGCTCCTCCGAAGTGGGGAATGCCAGCCCACCTCTCTGCAACAGCACTGGGGTGGAACAATCTCACCCTTCAATTCACCCTCACCCCCCAAAGTACCCCTTCCTCCAAGCAAGGCTGCAGAGCAGCCTGCACAGCCACACATCCCCAAGAAGTTTTACTGGGCTTCAGAAAGCAGCTCCTCATGCCACCCTGAGGGCAGCTGCAGCCATAGGGCAAAGCCCACTCAGGGCTGATCCCCACACCTCAGGGGCACCAGCAGCAGAAGAGAACCCAAGGTTTCCAGGGGTTTAACAGCAAGTAATACTCACTTGTAATATCACTGTGATACAAGTAATATTGAAGGTTCTGGGCACCACGAAGATTATCAGCTCTCCACATACAGCAGAAGTCAGGAAAGTGTAGCAGGAACTACAGCATCCTTGAGCACCACTCAAGGCTCCAGCTGTGGGAAATGCAGTAAGTACACAACCTGAAAGCTGCTGAGCTTTATGTTGCTTCAGCGGCTAATAGCAAGCTCCAAACTTGCCTGTCTAGTTTCAGCTTTCAACCACGACACCCAGCTACGCCTTTATTTGCTAGACTGAGGAGCCCTCAAGAGTTAGTTCCCAGCACAGGTACCCAATTATTTCAGCTTTGTGTTTATCTTATCAAGCTGAATGAGTCAGCCTTACTACAGGTCTAGGGCAGAGACAAAACTCCTGGGGAGTACTGGCCTATTTTGGGCAGGCTAGCATGAGAAGATCGTATCAGCCAGCCACAAAGAGCTACATCTTGCACTGCAGGGAAACATCTAAGCTCAGGCACAATGGATTACTCTGTTGACCCCAATGCCTGAATGAGTCAGCCTTACTACAGGTCTAGGGCAGAGACAAAACTCCTGGGGAGTACTGGCCTATTTTGGGCAGGCTAGCATGAGAAGATCGCATCAGCCAGCCACAAAGAGCTACATCTTGCACTGCAGGGAAACATCTAAGCTCAGGCACAATGTTGACCCAATGCCAGCAAGGCTCTAGCACCACTGGCTGACTAAGTACCCCAGGTCAAAACAATTCAGGGTCCCAGGACACTGGAGACTTGGATGAGAAGACTCGTACTCCAAGTTTGCCCCCACAGACCTGATGAAGGCTGCACAGAACAGGAAAGGGTCAGATCGACAGCAGCCCTGAACCCAACTAACTATCACCCTCAAACAGTGGGAGGGGTCCACTGCAACCTAACACTAGCACAGAAGTCCCCAGCAGCAAGAACAAGTCCCTCTCACTGTTTTGTGAAGCACCTGCAGCATTTCTACAGCCATACATGCCAGAGAGATGGAAGGCATTGGGCTTGTCCTTAACATGGGCTCAGGGCAAGCACCAAAACACCTACCAGAGCAGAACTAGCAGAATTACGCTGTAGGCTCATATAGAAAGGACATACGCATTTTCCACAGCTTCCCTAGGCAGAACAACATCCTACTGCATTACAGAGCAATCACACCTCCAGGAAACCCTCAAGGTCTTCACAAGACTGACATGCTACCCGGTCCAGCCCCAGGCAGAGGCTGAGGTGTGCCCTGCTCAGTGAGCAGATGCAAAGTACGTCTCTCCCTCCTCAGTCTTCCAAGGGGTAACCACTGCCCTTGAGGACAGCTGAGCTGAAAAGGAGTTGTAGAGCAGGCCCAAGCATTACCTTCACTAAGCAGGAGGATGCAAGTACACTGGTCTGCCTGAGCCATGGCAGCTCCCTGCCAGCCTTTCTGCTGCAGGCTGGGACTTTCTAGCACAGAGCAGCAAGCATCTAGGAACCTGAACTCACCTCTGCCATCTCCTGTGTGGAACATCAGACTTGATATCCCTCTGCACTCTAAGAGGGATTCACCATCCAGGCATCTGATCTTACTGCCCTCCATACATCACAGGCAACTACAGCTCAGTGGTTAGTATCTGTCCTCTCTGCACAGGGGAGAGACGCTCCCTTGACTCCTGTCAGATTCTGGGAGGAGATAAGGAACCCAACACTGAGCCTTAAACAGCTGAAGAAAAGTCAAGCAAACGGGTCCAAGCATCCCAAAGCAGCAGGAACCGTTGGGGCCCAGCACAGCCTGCGCTGTACTCAGAGACCTTGCAACACATCTCCTTCCACCTCTCAGCAATAAGGTGGTACTGCCCCATCTCAGCAAAAAGGTTCCTACTATTTGCAAACCAGAGTGTCAGGCCACGGTCTGCCTCAGCACTGAGGATTAGATACTTGCTTATGTCAAGCAATGTGCAAACTGTGTATTTCCAACGAGCTATACAGCTCTTTAGTGCAGCTTCAGCAAGAACAGCAGGGCCCTTTACAACAAGCCCCAGCAGCCCAAAAACAGACCACAGCATTGTGACCCACAACACTGACAGAGACCAGAGCTCAACCCAGTTAGTTAACAGCCTCACAGGGAGCAGCAAGCATCAGACTTGGCACCAGCCATCCACCACTCAACACTCCTACCCCATCAGCATTTGAGTCAGAAATCAGTCCTGTAATAAGTACGAAAGCAAGTCACCCTAATCTCCCCACTGGTTTAATTATAAGCAGCGCCAAAACAGTCTGGTAGGTGGCCACGGAGCTGCCACCCCAGGCAGAGCTGGCACAAGTCCCTTGCTGAACTGGCTAAAGCAGGCCTGGTCCCTGTGGGGCTCCCAAGGGAGTAGCAACCCTCAAAGGTCAGGAGATATCAAATTGACCCACATCCCTGACCTACAAGCTGACTGCAAGGCTTGTCACCTGATGCAGCTCAGAGCTCCACAGCCTCTCAGGAAGAGGAATCGTCTTCCCCCAAGTCCCCACCACAGCACCTGTGCAGCTTCCCAGAGCTCCAGAAAGTTACTGCGGGGTCCAGCAAGGCCTGCACCAACTCCATGCACCTGGTGAGTACGTTTCCCAGCAGAGCTATAGGGACAGGTGGTTCAGAAGCACCTGCCAGCTGCCACTGTGAAAAAATGGAACTGATCAACCCAGGATCTGGTGGCTCCAGATGAGGCACAAAGCTGCTGTGTACAGCACACACCGAGGCTGGCACCTCAAATCATCACCCAGAGCTGTCAGTCACATCTCCAGAAGCAGCTTTCCTGAACTTACACTCAAGTGAATCCAGCAAGAGAAAACACAAAAACATGGTTGAACAACACATGGGCAGCAAAGCAGAGCCAGACAACAGAAAGAAGGAGCTCAGCCAGATCTAAGAGAAAAAAAACAAAACAACCTGTTCTTTATCATCTCTGCAATGGCATCACTGTAAGATTAAAGTGTACTGTAAAGCACAGAAAACTGGATTTGTATCTCCTGCTGCTGCTCTGCACTCAGGCGAAAGGGAGAGGGGTCTATAACCAGATAGTGCACACAAGCTTTATACTCATCTCAGGACATCAGTTCAAGCACATGTAGCAGAGAGCACTCCAGGCAAGAGCTGTATTCAAGTATACCACTACTGCTAACAATTCCAGGTATCTGTCTGAAGACTCAGTTAAGGTACAGTTGTCCACATGCTACTGAAGTCGTGGCTTTTTCCCCAGTCAAGAGA